GGTGGGAACAGAGTAGTACCTGCCTGTGCCACGTATCTGACAATTTGAAGAGGATGAGGAAGGAGGAAAGAGGAAGGTGGAGAAAGGTCTTAACAGAAAATTCAGACAGCATTTTCCAGCAAGAAATTCCCCATTGCCAAAATATAGGTCAAACCATTTAACTTCTCCCAACCCTACCTTTTGGGTTTTTAAATGGGATTAAACATACTGCCCCAGGTTCCTAACTCTATCACTCTTGATCTGTTTCTTCATGCTTCAGGCTCTGTCTTAGAGACAAACTGTGTTCTCTTTCCCCTCTCTCCACTTTGATGTCAGCAGGGTAGCACTGAGAACACAAAAGACTGTGCAAGAGTAGAGGTGTAAAGAAGACCTGGAGAAAAGAACCACAGCAAAAACCTCATTCAACCCTTCCATCCTGGCTAGCCAACCTGTGAGTAACCTGCTCAGCACTTTAAAAATGAGCTGCATATTGTATATTCTCATCTGTCAGGTTTTTTCCCCTAGTTTGTCACCAAGAATGTCACCAAGTTTATCACCAAGTTTATCACTTCCATCAATCGTGCAAGTGCCCAGATTTTACAGAAGGTTACAACTTGACCAAATTTTTGGACGTGGAAAGGAGGCACGTTCTCTGCTGTCTCATGAACTAGTGGACAAGAGTTCACAGTACTCTTCTCCCTGCTGCAGATCAGCAGGGTCATGCTGATTCTTGCCAGTCACAGCACCTGCTCTGGGACATTCCCCCAGCTACTCCCTTGTCTTCAGCAGGGCTGCACCATCTGGAGGACCAGGATGCAGAAGGACCAGGAAGGCTGACTGGCACATAGGTAAGAGGCCTGGCTAAAGCAGGGAACAGCTGGGAGGGCATAGCCTGTGGAAGGAGCAGCAGGGAGGGGTGAGCAGTGTGGGGAAAGTCCTGCAGCTACCACCTGAGGCCGTCGTGGTCTGCCCATGGGAGAGCAGGCTGAAAGGGAAGCCCACCAGGGCCAGGATTTGCTGTGGTGTGAACATAATGGGATTAAGCCAAAGAACTCACCTGAGCTGGAAGGGGACTGGACGTTCGTGGTGCCTGGGATGCAGTGCTGAGTTGTGGCTGTGGTGGAGGTAGGCTGCAGATCTGTGGAGGGAAACAGAGACACAACACCTTCTCTTACTGTGACATGAGGGCATATCCCAAATGGCCAGCCCAACACTGAGTCTGAAACACCCTCTTTTTACACACACAGAAGGAACTGACTGACATTTCTGGCTAGAAAACCAAGCAATGATGCAGAACAAACAGTCCCAAATCACCTCTAGGCAACCCAGATATGGCAGCAGAAACATATTCCACAACTCTTATAGAAAATGGACTTCAGGAAATGAAACAGCTGCAAGGATCATGAATCCAAGGAACCCAACATGACTTCAGAGAGTGCTGACAGTCATCAGGAGAGGGCAGACAACAACCACTGGACTGAAATACACGTCGAGACAAGCCAATCCCACTCCCTCAGGAGACACTCAGGCAACATGCAGAGACTTCAACAGCTCCTGGTTGTATCAAGAGATACTGCCCCCAACATTATCCCCTGTCCTCACCCTTCTACCCTCAAGCTAGACATTTTTCTGAGCTCAGTCCAGGAATGATAGAGGAGGGACAGCTGAAGCCTTCGTGGCTGGCTGAGAGCTGGAAGGCAAATTTGCTAACATTCACTGAGCTATTGCACCTTGGAGGTTCTCCATTCAGTTCTGCAACAGGAATTTCATTAGCCTTAAAAAAAGAGAGCTGTGGAAATCCACCCTTCTCAGAGAATACCTCTCCTTCACCATCTAAATGAATCAAATACAACATGACCAAAGGCTTCTCCCCAGCCCACGTACAGGCTGACAGAGACTCTGTCAACCCACAGATTGCTTGGTGAATGTTTCCAGACAAGCTGGGTTAGCCTAAAAGGTTTAAAAGGAGGGGGAAAAGACACCTTGGTGCTGTAAGACCAAGCCTTTTCCTTCTGTGATTTTTTGCCAGCCCATAATAAAGGAGGGGTCATTGCACAAGCTGCTACATTCTGTTTGCTCATATTGAGCAGTTTCAGGAAGGCTTGCCCCATGCAGTTGTGTGAGGAGCTAATTATGGCTCTATAATTAGCCATGTGGAAGGACAGACCTCCCCATGTGGAGGGAAGCACTGCAACAGCAGGCACAGAGAAGTCCCTGAGCCAGAGCCACCAAACAGTTGGGTGAACAGATAGCTAAGTGTGTAAGGTCAGAGTAGGGATGAACTTTATATGGAGGAAATAGCCAAATTAAATGACTCACAGAATACAAAATACATACATCAGCTGGACTACTAGACAGAGTTAATTGGACATTAATTACTATATTACTGTGGGGGAAGGTCCAGAAATAGGTAATCAAGCAGTGAGTTTTAGATAGCTATTGCAGCTATTGCAACTTCTTTTTTTTTCTGTTTTTAGCAGATACAAAAAACCAGACTGTTTATACACACATTCTGACTGAGGTGCCTGTATGTTTTTACCCTAGGAGAACATCTGTAAACGTGACACAAACATTTGATAGGTAACTATATTGAAAAGGAATTGCATTTTTAAAGTAGTTCTTAGGTCCTGAAAACAATTCACAAGTAAATATGCTGTCCTCTGGAGAAGTATCTCATTAACCATTTTAACAGCCTTGCATATGTTTGGAACAAGAGTCCTGAAACAGCCTAATAGCTGCAAACAAGGCTGCTCTGAGTTCTGTCAGGAGGGCAATGGTTACCCCTGCCAACTGCAACTCCAAACACTTCTCTTGTCCACCAATGGACACATCAGAGAGGACTGACAGACCTCACTGGCCTCCAAGTCCTCCCATTTCTCCTGAGGGGAAACCAGAGCCAGCGCAATTTACCCTTAATATCTGAGAGATAATTAGGTTGGCTCCTTGTTGGTTTTGTGTCAGTGAGACTAAGGAATGGATGAAGTTGCCTCTCCACAACTTTCCTAATTATCTTCCTAAAATGGCAAATGGATCACAAATCACCAAAATCTAACTAGACTGTCAGCATCAACAAGTGGTTTCCAAGTCCTGGCACAAAAAGGCTTTTGGTTCCCAGAGCTTAAGTACTTTGGCTCTTGGAGGATCCCTGTGGAGAGGACAGACGCCTTTGCACAACCTTCCAACTGTGCACAACCATAAGGGAGAAGTGCAATGGCTTATTGGTCTTTCAAAGTAAAAGGACATACAGACAAAATTGCCCAGTGCAAGTAGGGAAAGGAAAGGAAGAAGAAATGTTTGAGCATATATCTGTATACAAACCTGCCTGAAGCTTTAATTGTGAAAAAATCACTGGAGTCCTCTATGTAAAAGGCACAAAGAAGATGTGGCTTCTAATCAGAAGGCAAGACCAACTGATAGCATTTAACTTCTACATAATTTTTGAAAACTGCATGCTGAAGTGACATAGAATACTTTTGCCTAAAACCCACAATTCACTGCAAAATGGGAGTTATGAAAATGTATCCTATTACTAGAAGTTTGAAGGGAAAAACAAGTACACAAAACAGTTGTGATTCCTCACAGTTTAAGATTATATAAACCAGGATAATATTGATGGCTTTTGCTGACAAATAACACATGGGGAGCTTAATCCTACTCTTAGCTCAGTAAAAGGGCAATGCCAACTGTTTTCAGTGGGAACTGTTTCAGATCATCTCTGGACATAATGTAAAAGACAAATTTAAAGTTCTTGTGCATTTTCACAAAAAACCCCCCAGATTTCCACAGCTTATCTTTCTCTTATGAAAATATTTGATCAGAGACCATATTCAGTGCCTCACATGTGCTCTTCATATGTATGGAAACAGTTGTAATCATCATACACTCTGAGTCAAAGACTTTTGACAACTAAAATAATATCTATTTAAACACTTTAGAAAACATAGCACAAATCATCCACAGACCTTTGGGAATTTTGGAGGCAGTGGGTGAGGAAAAAGATGTGACTGAAGGTCCCCAGCACACCACATTCCAATAACTCCTTGTAGGCTGCAGCCCTGACAGCATTTTGAAAATTGCTGAGCATGCCAAATGTAGAGGCTGTAGCTGAGCAATTACCATCTAGTCTAAGTCAGCCCCTCTACCTGAACTGGCACTCTCGTCAGCCAGAGAGGGATCAGCCAGGGCAAAACCCCAGGGATTTCTCCATCCTCTGAGACATTTCTTTAAATACAGTCCTGGGAGTTGATAAAACCTCCAGAGTATTTTCATTTTTCTGACAGAGACAATACCCTTTTTATCAAAAGGGTATTGCTCTGCATTTTTAAAAAATCAATATGAGGGATAATTTCGAACACATACTACAATTTCCTTACTTTTTTTTTGTTGTTGTTAGAAAAGCATGCCAGTGTAAGAAAGGAATGTTGTCTAAATAAATTACACCACTTGTTTTTTCCAGAGGGACATATGACCTCATGGTGACATATATTTACCTTATCATTTTTAGTGTAGGGTATAAATATATGCTAATTTCTCATTTAAGACTTGGTATGCCAGATCCTTACGTGAAGTAAATTAAAGTAACTGGTGAGTCCATGTAACAAATCTATGTCAATTAATTTATGTCACACAATATGGAGTTGAGTGTTTTGAAACTTAAGCCAAAAATATACTAATGGCCTCATTTTGTATTCAGTGTAGGAGAGGACAGTAATGATAAGGTCCTATAAAGTTATGCAAACCAACTGAAGATCTAACCTGGCATTTTTTTGCTCAGCTTTATTAGGGGCTTGTGGTTCAATCTTGCCCTATTGTGTATTAGTCCCTTGAAACTGGAAACAGACTAGCATGCAGGGAGCAAGTATTTTGCTCAGCAGTAGCTGTTTGCAGGATTGTGCTCCTGTTCATTATGTGATAATAGCGTATAGATACTGACCCCCATGGACTAGCTTTCTGTACAGTAGGGGGAAACACATCAGCACATATACACACATCTCTGAGGCACAGTTTGTAAGGAAACTCACCACTGCTAGAAGCATCATTGAGATTTAGCAGCCCACCTCCCAGCCCTCTGTAACTATGGTAACTGTAGGTCCCATTGCCGTTGATGTACAACACCTCCTGCGTGCTGGAAACAGCTGATGTTGAGTAAGTGACCTGGGCTGGCTCCTGTTTGCACTGCTTGTCAGCTGGAGCAGCCTCATCCTGCAAAAAACAACAAAAGATTTGGAATTATGGTTACATTTCACCTTGCATCTGAAGGTCTTTTCCATTGTTAAGATTAGATTCTACATCTATTGCTTTCACAAAAGTATAATGCATGTTAAACAAGCACAGATATGTTTCTGATTGACCAAATATCAGCATAAAAGAAACAATGGAAATAAGCAAGAATACAGGTTTCATAAAAATCTGAGAATATTCATTTATTTGTGCTCCACAAACCAACCATACTGTTTCTCAAAGGAGTAAATGTACCCTCTCACCCTGAAGAGCTCACAGCCTTCTCCAAAGCTCAATTTTGTCCCGAAATAGTGGGAAAGGATAGGAAATAGCCATTTCCTGAGTACTGGAGTGATTCTTACAAGTCAGAAAATCATATATTTCTTGATAAGATGAACCAATACAGAATGCACTATCTACTTATATTGAATGTATCAGTCTCAGAAATGACAGAAGGAATAGAGGAATGGAAAAAACCTGCATTCTTATGTTTGGAGAAGTCTGAGTGAGTGTCCTTCCCCACACAGGCCACAAAGTAGGGATGCCTCCACAAAAGTGACTTGAAATACTGTTGCTGTTTATACAGTACCTGTTTATACACCATGAGTTTTGCTCAACACTTCCTGTTTGCCTCTTTGATGATTGCATATTTAACAGAATTTAGCACAACAGCCCTTCAATTTTCCCTGAAAGGAGATGTTTCAGGTGAAAGTGTATTATTCCCAATTCCCCATCTGTACTTATTGTATCTACTGCTTAGAGTACCTCACCTCCACTCATGAACACAGAATGCCATGGTAGCAACTTTATCAATGACACAGGTGAAATAAAGAAAAGCATTAACAGAAGATTTAATGCATTTTAGTAGCTGGAAACTAAGGCAAAACTTCATGTTTTTAAGAGAGTTGGCCAAAGTGTTCTCCTAAGCATTTTCTTAAGTAATAATAATCTTAAATAAATGGCCAGAATTGCAATGAATTTTTTATCACAAATTTAACTTTAATATCATTTACCTTTTATCTCCAAAGGTCATTGATGTCTCTTATGAGAGAAAATATATTATTTTCTCAGAGAACATTCATAAGCTACATAGTAAAGTTCTATCTTGGCAACATAGCTGAACTCACCGTCCAAAATTTTAACACTCTCAAGACTCAGATGTTCTGCCTCCTTATGCCTAAAACTAAATGATGCTTCCTGCCATAGACTCACTCAGAGCCTCATTTTTTTCACAGAGCTCAATAGCAGAACTTCTGCCAAGCTATCAAGGACTAAACTGTGTCCAAGGGGCACATTGCAAACAGGACTAACTTGTATAGCTGAGCAGAGATTGTCAGGATTGGTCTCCTTATCCTCGCTGTCTGGAGCCCACAGATTTGCTGACCCTGAATTCACACGTCCTCCAGAGCCCCTCTAGTGAGGGCACTGAAGCCCTAACTGGAAGTCTCTTGCAGAGCAGATGCACTGAGCTCTGGCAAAGCCCAGAAGGCAGAGCCTGGCTGGAGGATGCAGCAAGGATGCTTGGTGCACCTTGGTGCACACCAGCCCATGTGTTCCAGAGCACATGGCCAAGAAGTGGGAGACCAGAGTTCTGGCTACTTGTCGCAGTACATGGTGAAGAGGCGGAAAAAATTGGGATGCAGGGTCCCTGCTGGCTGTGGTGAGGAGGGGACCTGAACTCAGAGCTGCCATCTCCTAGCAACCAGGCTCCAAGCAAAACTGTGGTGGGAGTCAACGCTGAAGCTGTGCCACTGTGCGGGAAGGAATGCACAATTCACAGGGCTACAGAGATAGCACAAGAAAAGGGAGCATGACTCAGTTCTCTCTCAGAAGTGCTGCCTTGGGAGGCTCCATTCCAGCTACTCCCTAACACAAAATCCACAGGAGGCTTTGAGGTCAGAAAGCCAAGGTTGGAGCTGAGCTACTGAAGGGGGATATTTGTAAAGAACTAATCATAGCCCTACAAACACTGTGACATGCCATGGCATGGGGCTTGAGGCGAGTCTGGGCACTCCAGTGGGGAAGGCATTCTCAGGGAGGCTAAAGTTGAGGATGGTGCTGAGACCAGGACTCCTAGTTCTGCATATGAACTCTAATCTCTTGGCCACCATGCAGAAGGAGGCTTCCTCTAAATATTTCATATCTCTTTAAAGAGCACACTGATCACTTGTCCCTAAATGATGAATAAGTTGCCATACATTTCAGACATTAAATCTGATCCTTAACTAAGTGTTTACCTCCATCTTCATGATAACTACACACAGAAATAGAGCAGTTTTCTAAAGCTTTTTCTGAGCAGGCTCAGGCACCGGCCCTACTAGTAAGATTATGAACCATTAATTTGGTCCCAGGGGGTTAGGTGTTGCCTCTCATATATTCCTCTGGGACTTAAGCATTTTTTTGGAAATGTTTTCTACTTCAAAAGGCAAAGTTTTGCCATTTTTCCTTGCAGCCATACCAAGGATAAAGAATCCAATCTCTCTTTTTCTTGGGGATGGAGAATATGAGTATCATATTTACTTTTGTATACCTGAGATTCATTCTTCATAGATTCATTCTCCTCATTCTTTTCACCTGAAATGCCTTTGATTTTTAAGTCATGTAGAAATTAAATGTATTGTTGTTCTGCTGAGAACTGAGATCTTTGAAATAGTCTGTGATAGTTATTCAGCATTCTGTTTCTCCCTATATAATGTTTACACTGAAAAGGCTTATTTATTTAAAATCTTATTTTAAAAATACTTTAATTTCAAGGCAATCATCAGCAATTAACTAACCATTTGGTGACATTTTTGACCTATCTGGAGCATACACTGTTGTCATCATAACAATATACTAAACTTTTGAAGTATTAACTAACCATTTTAAAACTATTTATAATCTACCTTTAATAAGAAGTATGACCAAGGTACAGATAAAACATTTGTTCATCTAGGATTTGACTCATACTATCTTAATTTAGTATATGCCAAAGGAAATAAATCACCCCTCTAACTATATTTCTCTTATGAATTTATTTTGGAGGAGAAGCAATTTAAGTCTTGAGCACATTACCTGCAAAATGATTGAAATCAGAATATGGAAAAATACTTCTCAGGTACAAAAGCATGCTAAAATAAAAACTTATCTGTTGGCTTGAAAAGAGAAAGCATGAGGTCCTTACTGTGATCCTCAAGTTGATATATACCAGAGATATTTATGTCTCAGTTTTATGTCAAGGTCTGTACTGGGAGAACACTTTATTTTTTTTTTTCCCCACAAAAGAGCAGATAGAAAAAAATTAATTTGATTTTATTTTTAATCAGGGAAGCAATTTAATAACCCTCTAAGGACAGTACATCCTAAGAAAATTTTCCATGAGCTGTTGCATAACCTGTATATTGAAGAAACCCTTCTCTGACTGATGCTCAGAGCAGCAAATGAATAGTTTACAGAGGAATCACCATCCACAGCAACATGATGTTGGTGCAGATTGTCAGGACTGTGGTACAAAGAGCAAGGCTCACTGGCAGTTCCCAGCCTCTTGTTCCCCTGCCAGCAGAGGCACAGCACACACAACTCATTCCAAACAGTCTTCATGGAAACATCTTTAGCAGTGTCATCGATTACTTCTGTTCCCCATCTCCTTTACCACCTCCAAAATAACAGAAAAAAGCAATAATCTGTTGAAATAAAAACCCTTGACAAATCTGTGTTACATTGAGTTTTGATCCCTTACATGCCCAAGTGTCAGAAATTCAGTGTACTCCAATTAAGAGAGAGCAGTACTATTGCCTTGGCTTCCCTGTTAGCAACAGGCATTGCTAAGATGTAAATGTAAATCCCATCAGGGAGGGTGTGTGCAGATCAACTCACATGGCCAGTGCTAGCTCACCCCAGAGCTAACAAAACTTCTGCAAAAAGAATATAAATTATAATGTCCAAAAATGCAAAGATGGTGACATGCATAGACTACTGCTTTTAATAATGCAGTACTTTCCCAGACTGACAAATCAATGACTCTGAGAATAAGGTTTTAACTGCCCCTATGTCAGCGAGATTTTTTTTTTTCCCATGAATTAGAAAGGAGACAGAAAGGCAAACACATTTTTGCCTCATATTTCTTGATACTGCCTTTTTTAATAAGTTAATCTGAAAAATGTGGATTGCTTGTTGTTCTTGTCCATAAACATTTCTTTTAGAATACTACTTTGAGGTTAGAAAAACTCAAATGCAGATAAGTCTTAAAACAAATAAGCCTATTTGCATATGGTCTTCCACTTTTTCAGCATAGGAAAAAAAATTCATTCACTTGAAAAACAAAGCAGACTTTAATTTTTTTTTTTAGGTCTCAGTAGCTTATAATATGGCTTTAGAAGAAAGGAGATAATGTTTCATATATTTTTCTCATTTGAATCCCACTAATTTAATTCTACAATTTTTGAATCAAAAGTAAAATAAATAGAAACATATGATAAAACCACATAACACTTTTCAAAGCATACCAAATTAATCTTTACAATACTCCTGATAGATAGGACTTTTATCAGTGCTTTTCAGATGGTGAGATTCTGGCAACAAAGGTAACCTTAAGCTAGTTTCCTAATATGTAAAGTACTTGAGTTCTGCAACCATAACAACATAATGAACTTCTCTTTGTGCAAATTAATTTTAAAAAACTCTGAAGTTTTTAACTGGGAACAAACTCAGAAATTATATCATGAAACACCCTGCTGTATCCACAGAGGATTGTGGGGCTGGGAGTTCTCTTCCCATCTCAGCTTTTGCACAGAGAAGGGATTCCCAGGGTAAGCAGCCGTCATCATCTGCATGAAGCAAGGTATATAAAGGAAGATAAGCCACATGAAACCTGGCTCCCCCGAAGGGCCCAGAATCTGGACCCTTCTTAGACACCAATCTGCTGTTGCCTGGACCAGATTGTGTACACCTTGTGCTCTGTCTTTGCAAAATCCCTGAGACTTCACTCCATCCTCTTTGCTTCT